ACCGATGGCGACTTTGAAACATATGGGACTGATGTAGTAACTTGAACCGTTGTTGGACTACTGGCTTCGGTGACGAAGTGGGTTTGCTAGTTGGTGCAGAAGTAACAATTGTTGTTGGAACGGATACACTAGTGGATGGAGAGCTGCTAGCTGGAATGGAAGAATAGACAGTTGTTGGGGGAGCCACAGTGCTGCTGGGTGGTTGAGGACTCGATGCAGTTGATGGGATTCGTGCCGAAGTTGTAGGCGATAAAGTCGAGACCGATGGCGACTTTGAAACATATGGGACTGATGTAGTAACTTGAACCGTTGTTGGACTACTGGGCTTCGGTGACGAAGTGGGTTTGCTAGTTGGTGCAGAAGTAACAATTGTTGTTGGAACGGATACACTAGTGGATGGAGAGCTGCTAGCTGGAATGGAAGAATAGACAGTTGTTGGGGGGATCACAGTGCTGCTGGGTGGTTGAGGACTCGATGCAGTAATGTGTTTTGGACAGAAGAGAGGGGGTGGTGTGGTAAATACGTATGATGATGATTTCAGCAAAGAGCTTGGGGAATTGATGATGTAGGTGTGATGACTTGATAATAACAAATCCAGTTGATGGCAGTTGTGGAGGTGCCGTAGTTAAGACAGAAGATAGAAGACTGGTTGACGAAACCGTTGTAACAGATGACGAAACAATTGTTGTTGGAACCGATACACTAGTGGATGGAGAGCTGCTAGCTGGAATGGAAGAATAGACAGTTGTTGGGGGAGCCAAAGTGCTGCTGGGTGGTTGAGGACTCGATGCAGTTGATGGGATTCGTGCCGAAGTTGTAGGCGATAAAGTCAACACCGATGGCGACTTTGAAACATATGGGACTGATGTAGTAACTTGAACCGTTGTTGGACTACTGGGCTTCGGTGACGAAGTGGGTTTGCTAGTTGGTGCAGAAGTAACAATTGTTGTTGGAACGGATACACTAGTGGATGGAGAGCTGCTAGCTGGAATGGAAGAATAGACAGTTGTTGGGGGAGCCACAGTGCTGCTGGGTGGTTGAGGACTCGATGCAGTTGATGGGATTCGTGCCGAAGTTGTAGGCGATAAAGTCGAGACCGATGGCGACTTTGAAACATATGGGACTGATGTAGTAACTTGAACAGTTGTTGGACTACTGGGCTTCGGTGACGAACTGGGTTTGCTAGTTGGTGCAGAAGTAACAATTGTTGTTGGAACGGATACACTAGTGGATGGAGAGCTGCTAGCTGGAATGGAAGAATAAACAGTTTTGGGGGAGCCACAGTGCTGCTGGGTGGTTGAGGACTCGATGCAGTTGATGGGATTCGTGAAGTTGTAGGCGATAAAGTCGACACGGATGGCGACTTTGAAACATATGGGACTGATGTAGTAACTTGAACCGTTGTTGGACTACTGGGTTTCGGTGACGAAGTGGGTTTGCTAGTTGTTGCAGAAGTGACAATTGTTGTTGGAACGGATACACTAGTGGATGGAGAGCTGCTAGCTGGAATGGAAGAATAGACAGTTGTTGGGGGAGCCAAAGTGCTGCTGGGTGGTTGAGGACTCGATGCAGTTGATGGGATTCGTGCCGAAGTTGTAGGCGATAAAGTCAACACCGATGGCGACTTTGAAACATATGGGACTGATGTAGTAACTTGAACCGTTGTTGGACTACTGGGCTTCGGTGACGAAGTGGGTTTGCTAGTTGGTGCAGAAGTAACAATTGTTGTTGGAACGGATACACTAGTGGATGGAGAGCTGCTAGCTGGAATGGAAGAATAGACAGTTGTTGGGGAGTCACAGTGCTGCTGGGTGGTTGAGGACTCGATGCAGTAGATGGTGTTTTTGGAACAGAAGATGAAGGGGTGGTGGTTTGGTAAATACGTATGATGATGATTTCAGCAAAGAGCTTTGGGGAATTGATGATGTAGGTGTTGATGACTTGATAATAACAAATCCAGTTGATGGCAGTTGTGGAGGTGCCGTAGTTAAGACAGAAGATAGAAGACTGGTTGACGAAACCGTTGTAACAGATGACGAAACAATTGTTGTTGGAACCGATACACTAGTGTGGAGAGCTGCTAGCTGGAATGGAAGTATAGACAGTTGTTGGGGAGTCACAGTGCTGCTGGGTGGTTGAGGACTCGATGCAGTTGATGGGATTCGTGCCGAAGTTGTAGGCGATAAAGTCGAGACCGATGGCGACTTTGAAACATATGGGACTGATGTAGTAACTTGAACCGTTGTTGACTACTGGCTTCGGTGACGAAGTGGGTTTGCTAATTGGTGCAGAAGTAACAATTGTTGTTGGAACGGATACACTAGTGGATGGAGAGCTGCTAGCTGGAATGGAAGAATAGACAGTTGTTGGGGGAGCCACAGTGCTGCTGGGTGGTTGAGGACTCGATGCAGTTGATGGGATTCGTGCCGAAGTTGTAGGCGATAAAGTCGAGACCGATGGCGACTTTGAAACATATGGACTGATGTAGTAACTTGAACAGTTGTTGGACTACTGGGCTTCGGTGACGAACTGGGTTTGCTAGTTGGTGCAGAAGTAACAATTGTTGTTGGAACGGATACACTAGTGGATGGAGAGCTGCTAGCTGGAATGGAAGAATAGACAGTTGTTGGGGGAGCCACAGTGCTGCTGGGTGGTTGAGGACTCGATGCAGTTGATGGGATTCGTGCCGAAGTTGTAGGCGATAAAGTCGAGACCGATGGCGACTTTGAAACATATGGGACTGATGTAGTAACTTGAACCGTTGTTGGACTACTGGGCTTCGGTGACGAACTGGGTTTGCTAGTTGGTGCAGAAGTAACAATTGTTGTTGGAACGGATACACTAGTGGATGGAGAGCTGCTAGCTGGAATGGAAGAATAACAGTTGTTGGGGGAGCCACAGTGCTGCTGGGTGGTTGAGGACTCGATGCAGTTGATGGGATTCGTGAAGTTGTAGGCGATAAAGTCAACACGGATGGCGACTTTGAAACATATGGGACTGATGTAGTAACTTGAACCGTTGTTGGACTACTGGGCTTCGGTGACGAAGTGGGTTTGCTAGTTGGTGCAGAAGTAACAATTGTTGTTGGAACGGATACACTAGTGGATGGAGAGCTGCTAGCTGGAATGGAAGAATAGACAGTTGTTGGGGGAGCCAAAGTGCTGCTGGGTGGTTGAGGACTCGATGCAGTTGATGGGATTCGTGCCGAAGTTGTAGGCGATAAAGTCAACACCGATGGCGACTTTGAAACATATGGGACTGATGTAGTAACTTGAACCGTTGTTGGACTACTGGGCTTCGGTGACGAACTGGGTTTGCTAGTTGGTGCAGAAGTAACAATTGTTGTTGGAACGGATACACTAGTGGATGGAGAGCTGCTAGCTGGAATGGAAGAATAGACAGTTGTTGGGGGAGCCACAGTGCTGCTGGGTGGTTGAGGACTCGATGCAGTTGATGGGATTCGTGCCGAAGTTGTAGGCGATAAAGTCGAGACCGATGGCGACTTTGAAACATATGGGACTGATGTAGTAACTTGAACCGTTGTTGGACTACTGGGCTTCGGTGACGAACTGGGTTTGCTAGTTGGTGCAGAAGTAACAATTGTTGTTGGAACGGATACACTAGTGGATGGAGAGCTGCTAGCTGGAATGGAAGAATAGACAGTTGTTGGGGGAGCCAAAGTGCTGCTGGGTGGTTGAGGACTCGATGCAGTTGATGGGATTCGTGCCGAAGTTGTAGGCGATAAAGTCAACACCGATGGCGACTTTGAAACATATGGGACTGATGTAGTAACTTGAACCGTTGTTGGACTACTGGGCTTCGGTGACGAAGTGGGTTTGCTAGTTGGTGCAGAAGTAACAATTGTTGTTGGAACGGATACACTAGTGGATGGAGAGCTGCTAGCTGGAATGGAAGAATAGACAGTTGTTGGGGGAGCCACAGTGCTGCTGGGTGGTTGAGGACTCGATGCAGTAGATGGTGTTTTTGGAACAGAAGATGAAGGGGGTGGTGGTTTGGTAAATACGTATGATGATGATTTCAGCAAAGAGCTTTGGGGAATTGATGATGTAGGTGTTGATGACTTGATAATAACAAATCCAGTTGATGGCAGTTGTGGAGGTGCCGTAGTTAAGACAGAAGATAGAAGACTGGTTGACGAAACCGTTGTAACAGATGACGAAACAATTGTTGTTGGAACGGATACACTAGTGGATGGAGAGCTGCTAGCTGGAATGGAAGAATAGACAGTTGTTGGGGGAGCCAAAGTGCTGCTGGGTGGTTGAGGACTCGATGCAGTTGATGGGATTCGTGCCGAAGTTGTAGGCGATAAAGTCAACACCGATGGCGACTTTGAAACATATGGGACTGATGTAGTAACTTGAACCGTTGTTGGACTACTGGGCTTCGGTGACGAACTGGGTTTGGTAGTTGGTGCAGAAGTAACAATTGTTGTTGGAACGGATACACTAGTGGATGGAGAGCTGCTAGCTGGAATGGAAGAATAGACAGTTGTTGGGGGAGCCACAGTGCTGCTGGGTGGTTGAGGACTCGATGCAGTTGATGGGATTCGTGCCGAAGTTGTAGGCGATAAAGTCGAGACCGATGGCGACTTTGAAACATATGGGACTGATGTAGTAACTTGAACCGTTGTTGGACTACTGGGCTTCGGTGACGAACTGGGTTTGCTAGTTGGTGCAGAAGTAACAATTGTTGTTGGAACGGATACACTAGTGGATGGAGAGCTGCTAGCTGGAATGGAAGAATAGACAGTTGTTGGGGGAGCCAAAGTGCTGCTGGGTGGTTGAGGACTCGATGCAGTTGATGGGATTCGTGCCGAAGTTGTAGGCGATAAAGTCAACACCGATGGCGACTTTGAAACATATGGGACTGATGTAGTAACTTGAACCGTTGTTGGACTACTGGGCTTCGGTGACGAAGTGGGTTTGCTAGTTGGTGCAGAAGTAACAATTGTTGTTGGAACGGATACACTAGTGGATGGAGAGCTGCTAGCTGGAATGGAAGAATAGACAGTTGTTGGGGGAGCCACAGTGCTGCTGGGTGGTTGAGGACTCGATGCAGTAGATGGTGTTTTTGGAACAGAAGATGAAGGGGGTGGTGGTTTGGTAAATACGTATGATGATGATTTCAGCAAAGAGCTTTGGGGAATTGATGATGTAGGTGTTGATGACTTGATAATAACAAATCCAGTTGATGGCAGTTGTGGAGGTGCCGTAGTTAAGACAGAAGATAGAAGACTGGTTGACGAAACCGTTGTAACAGATGACGAAACAATTGTTGTTGGAACGGATACACTAGTGGATGGAGAGCTGCTAGCTGGAATGGAAGAATAGACAGTTGTTGGGGGAGCCAAAGTGCTGCTGGGTGGTTGAGGACTCGATGCAGTTGATGGGATTCGTGCCGAAGTTGTAGGCGATAAAGTCAACACCGATGGCGACTTTGAAACATATGGGACTGATGTAGTAACTTGAACCGTTGTTGGACTACTGGGCTTCGGTGACGAACTGGGTTTGCTAGTTGGTGCAGAAGTAACAATTGTTGTTGGAACGGATACACTAGTGGATGGAGAGCTGCTAGCTGGAATGGAAGAATAGACAGTTGTTGGGGGAGCCACAGTGCTGCTGGGTGGTTGAGGACTCGATGCAGTAGATGGTGTTTTTGGAACAGAAGATGAAGGGGGTGGTGGTTTGGTAAATACGTATGATGATGATTTCAGCAAAGAGCTTTGGGGAATTGATGATGTAGGTGTTGATGACTTGATAATAACAAATCCAGTTGATGGCAGTTGTGGAGGTGCCGTAGTTAAGACAGAAGATAGAAGACTGGTTGACGAAACCGTTGTAACAGATGACGAAACAATTGTTGTTGGAACGGATACACTAGTGGATGGAGAGCTGCTAGCTGGAATGGAAGAATAGACAGTTGTTGGGGGAGCCAAAGTGCTGCTGGGTGGTTGAGGACTCGATGCAGTTGATGGGATTCGTGCCGAAGTTGTAGGCGATAAAGTCAACACCGATGGCGACTTTGAAACATATGGGACTGATGTAGTAACTTGAACCGTTGTTGGACTACTGGGCTTCGGTGACGAACTGGGTTTGGTAGTTGGTGCAGAAGTAACAATTGTTGTTGGAACGGATACACTAGTGGATGGAGAGCTGCTAGCTGGAATGGAAGAATAGACAGTTGTTGGGGGAGCCACAGTGCTGCTGGGTGGTTGAGGACTCGATGCAGTTGATGGATTCGTGCCGAAGTTGTAGGCGATAAAGTCGAGACCGATGGCGACTTTGAAACATATGGGACTGATGTAGTAACTTGAACCGTTGTTGGACTACTGGGCTTCGGTGACGAACTGGGTTTGCTAGTTGGTGCAGAAGTAAAATTGTTGTTGGAACGGATACACTAGTGGATGGAGAGCTGCTAGCTGGAATGGAAGAATAGACAGTTGTTGGGGGAGCCAAAGTGCTGCTGGGTGGT